CTAATTTATTTGAATGTTGTACCTCTACTGTGACATGTTCACATGCTTCAGCACCTCTTTTCACCCTCTGTCTGAAACCAGAGCCTAGTCTCCTCTGATTGGTTAGCTGGCAGGCTCTGTTGTGACTGGTCAACCGCTTAGACATGTCCAACCCCTTAACCGATCACAAACAATGTGTTTGAGCATGTGTTACGGAGGTAAACAAATGTATCCAATGGAGACGGGGAGTGTGGGAGAGGAACTGAAATGTTAGCCTCTGTAGACCCTTTACATGCACACAAACTTACATGACACACTACAGGAAAGAGAGCATAACAGGCTCACCTATTGAGTGTTTCATATGCAAGGGATAGAGGAGCTGACATTGTCCTAGAAAGTATATGGCCAAAAATGTTGGTATTATTTACTAGGCAGAAAAGCCAATCAGAGCTTACAGAATCGTCAGTGAGGACATATTTTACTCTTTCATTGGACCAGAGTATATAACAAGAAATAAAACGTGTTAGTTTCAGCCCGACTTTACATATCAGTCCATGTTCCTTATTTAAGACTTTATTTTAAAGTAAAGCTGTAAAGCCTTGGGTGTGCTGGGTTCGTTAAAGTCAAACTAGAATTTCCACTTCTTAAGTCTAAACAAAAGCACGTCCGCCTTTTTGTTTGGGCTTCTCTGCAGCACATGTTTCCAGTGGTTCTTGTTTTTCAAATCTTCCCTCTCTAGCCGACCTTGGGAGTGGCCTCTGCTGCAGCACGTGCCAGTGCGCACACACACACACACATTCCTGTATGCAGAGGGAGAGTCTTGTGTCAAAGCGCCTGGCCGACAGCCGTGTCCTGACAGGAGGATAGAAATCAGCCACCTCGTGCTATAAACACGTGGTGGTTAGTGAAGTGGTCGTAAAGAAACTCCCTCGCTTCTGGCACTTTACCAACGTTTGAAATCGGGCAGTTTCCCAGCGGCCATGTTGGTTAAGACGTGGAGTCTTTGTTTGCATTCCTGGGATCTAAAGACCCATTTACAGCCAACAGTTTCCAGCTGACACAAGTGACCGTTGATCGTCTTCAACGGAAGATGCTTTAACTCTGGAAATAGGATAGAAACTAAGGGGGTGAAAAGGAAGAGGAAACTATGTATGTTCTGGTGATCTTTACATGTATTTGTCAGAGGGGCTTTTTCATTCATGTCAGCTTTCTCTGAGTAAATTAAAGGGCCAGTTGCTGAGCCTCACACCTTCACACCAGGCAACATAATGCAACATGCAAGAGCCTTTTCAAATGTCCCCCTCCACAGTGGGTTTCAAAATGTAGATGAGGACTTGGCTCGTCCCACAAATGCAAACCCAGATTTTACAAGTGGATCTGTCAATGAGCCGGAGGTTAAACACATTAAAAGGGGATCTTTACCTTTTGTTCGACCAGGGCCTTTGTTTTTGACCCAAGAAGATTCATAATGTTTGCTTGTTTTGTTTTGTATACTTTGTTAGTTCTTCATGAGATCAATCATTACATTGTGTTGGAAGGTATAAAGCTGAATGTGTTAAAAAGTTAAGCAATATTGTGACATGCTTTAGTGTCTGTTTCCAGTATATAGGTTAAGCTAACCAACTCTTTTACATTTAAAGTACAGATTTGAACATTTTATTTAGCTTTTTATGGAAATATAAGCATATTTAACCAAATATTGAACCATTCCTGACCTGAACTTCAGTATCATGACTTCTAGCATTTTTAAAACCTGGGATGGGGGGCTTTTAGCTAAATAAAGTTGCTGTCACTGGTGTATGTGTTGGGTAGCAGTGGGGACAAACGTTGTCGAACAGTCAGATAAAACAAACTTTTTTTAAAAGGTGTCTCCCTGTTGGGTTGGAAAAAAATATGTTCAACACTGAAACGACTTCACATACTGCAACAGTGTCTATAAAACGACCCCACCCTTCCTATCAACATCTCTTCTCTGAGAATCCACCTCTTAACCCCCGGCTCCTCTATGCAGCTGCAGAGGTGAATCAGAGGTCTTTAGTTGTCTTTAGTTGTGAAAAAATATGTTCAACACTGAAACGACTTCTCATACTGCAACAGTGTCTATAAAACGACCCCACCCTTCCTATCAACATCTCTTCTCTGAGAATCCACCTCTTAACCCCCGGCTCCTCTATGCAGCTGCAGAGGTGAATCAGAGGTCTTTAGTTGTTGAAATTGACAGTAAACTGACAACCCGGCCTGTAAAACAAGGCCCTAACAGGCAGCCTTTGAAGGTGGTGAAACACGGAGCATTAACACTGTGGTTTCTAAGGAATGGGGTTTTTTAATGTTAAGCATTAGAAACTTGTGCTATATGTCTGCACACCCTCTGCATGCTGAGATTATTTCCCCATATGTTCAGGATGTTTTCACTTCCCCCTGCAGTGAATACAGACAAGTCCAGAAGTGATGTTAGCCTCAGGTTGTTGTTGTTCGCTTCCTTTGTTTCAAACTCGCGGGCCTCGATTCGATTGGTCCTGAGAGCGCTGCCCTTTACCCACTTCCTGTTGTTTGTCTTATTCAGCTGGTTTGTTTCATTGGAGGAAAATATGACTCAGAGATAAAAAAAACAGTGAAACCAGCTTTACTTGTGGTTTTCATGACACCACTCGCTCGCTGCACATCCTGCATGCTCACTTCTTGAAAAATGCACTTTTTGTTAAAGTCTTATCCTTTACTTCTACTTAATACAAATCTGAGTTTCACACTGACGCTGGAATCTAGCGTTACTTTCACTTTGAATCTTTACTCTGATTTTGGCTAATCATTACTGCAGTGGTCCCGCTTATTCACTTCTTTATTATAGGAGTGACAGCTCTGTGTTAATTATTACTCACAGCGTGGGTGCTGCAGAGAGATTCTGCTGCACACCTTTCACAGGGAGCCTTCACACAACTACACTAAACATGAAGTGTTTGCTTAGTAAATAGGAACGTGGTGTAAAAGCAGGATTGTGCTGTAGAGCCCATTATAAGCATTGTGTATTACTATTTTGTATTATATTGTGTATTATTTACACATGTTTTACACATTGTATTACAAACACGCTTTAAACACACGAGAAGTTGGATTTTATGTTTTTTATTTTAAATAAGAAATGTATATTTAAGTATAGTACTTAGTGACTAGTGACATTTGACCATAGATATCATTTCCCTGCTTTAATACAAATTAGATTTGCTGGTGGCTCTAGATAAAAAGACAAAGGATCAACACAGTGGTTCAGATTCAACATCATGGGGTTTTGACAAGATTTAATAGATAACAATCTGGTAGTTGCTGAGGTATTTTAATCTGGTGATATTAAGGCCCTGAAACATTAAACCTAATGATCAAGTGTTGCTGCTGTTGTTGACAAGAAAAATGACAGCAGCAGAGCAGAATGCCAGGTTTTATTGAACCTAAAAAGAGTAAAACGTTCACACAACTCGCTCCATCACCTGGAGGACTTGTTTCAGCGTGTCAGAGTCTGTGCGATGGCGAGGAGGTTAACAGGGCGGAGACCATGTTAACAAAGCTGAGTGAAGGTTTTCTTTCTTTCTCTTCCCTCTGTCACTTCTTCACACACACACACACACACACACACACACACACACACACACACACACACACACACACACACACACACACACACACACACACACACACACACACACACACACACACACACACACACACACTCAAACACTCAAACACTCAAACACACACTCTGAGCAGGGCCTCAGCAGAGTAAAGAAGCGTGACCGGCAGCAGCTGCTGGATTAACAGCTGTCTCTGTTGTGTGTGTGCTGAGACGCTGAAACACTTTGTGATCAAACATCCCTGCAGCTGCCTCTCAGCCATGTTTTCATACTCAGTTTGGTCCTTTCTTATCCAGTTGAGGGTGATCTGATCTGATAAAGTAATGGTTTTAATGTGTTTTTCAGCAAACCTTCTCAGAATTAATATCATAAATATATTGTTTCACTAATATTGTAGGGTACATATTTATTGTTGTTATATATTATTGTACAATGTGCACATTTTTTATTCCTTAACTTCCTCCTGTTTCAATAAATATTGTTGTTTTATTTGTATTTGTTTCATTCTTTATTGTATTTATTTATTCTAAAATGGAGCCCCCTTTCCCCTGGGAATAACGTATTCAGACTCTGTTTCTGATGCAAATGCATATATATTGTGGTATTCTATAATAATAAATGGAATATCTTTATGTTTCTGGGTGTAATATAGAATATGCTATTTGAATATGATATAATATAATATGATATGATATGATATAATAAGACATAAGGCAGGGGTGTCCAAACTTTTTTCACCGAGGGCCACATACAGTCAAATATACGAAGGGCTGGACCACTCAGTAGAGGTTTATTGTCTCATAAGTTCAGTTATAAGTTAGCAAAATCAATCCAATGTAGGTCAATGATGCTTGATACTTGAATATGCTTTAAGAAAACAAACAGCCTACATCACAGCTCTCCAGAGGGTTTCATTCATTTTGTTAGCAGCTCATTCCTTAAAACAGAAGCCTCCGATTGCTTATAAGAGGAAATAGGAAGTGTATATTTCAAGAAAATGCAAATAAGTTATTGGGCTTTTTCTTATCAACTTAGATTTGTTAGAAATTGTTTTCAACTTTAATTGACTGAATTTATTTGAAGCATTGGGCTTATTAACACATGAATACTACTGTGTAATATATGTTTACATATATATTTGAGAAGTACAATATAAGACAAGCATAAGTTTCATTTGTGGGCCATATTTCATTATACTTTTGGAATTTGCTGAGGGCCGATTAACAATGGCCCGCGGTCCGCATTTGACCCCCGGGCTGTAGTTTGGACACCCCTGACATAATGTTACATATTAGATAATGTGATATGACATGATGTAATATGACGTACTTTGAGCGCCATCTTGTGGTTTAAACATCACATAACAACGGCAGCTGAGAGTGGTCACCTGACTAACGCGGAAGTGCTCTATCAGCAGCAACAACATGACCCGTGCACAGTAAACACTGCTTTGAAACATAAGTAGATTTTAGTTGGTTTTTCTGCAGCATGGTTCGCTGCTTCCTGATCCACACAGTGTGCCCGGTCAGTGCTCTCGGGGCCGGGGAGAGTCGGGCGCTTTACTGCCGGGTCTTCGGTCCAGATGAGAGCCTCTTCACCGACCAGGAGCGGGAGTTCAGCCCGGAGGAGAGGCGGGTTCTGCAGAGGGAGCAGACCGCGGTGGTGGCACGGTGAGCCGGGCTGCAAACACATCCAGTTTAAATGAAATCTGTGAAAAGAAAATACATCTGTGAGGACGATTTAGCAGCATTACCAGACTTTTGTTGTTGAAATTCCTCTGGATGAACAGTTTGTTAATACACTGGACGATTAAGGCCACCTCTTAGTACATTTTTAATTTTAAATGAATATTAATACAATTGGGCATATTATTCAGTGTTCAATATTTTCCATGTCATGTGATGTGACCCAGTGACAACAAATCAATGCAGCATGATATAACTACACTGGACTTCTTTACTTTAATGGATTTTAATTTGTTTGTTTACTTTATATGAATATTTTAAATACAAATCAGCAGTTTTATCCTTTCAAACTTTTGTATTTGTTTTAATAGCTTCAATATCATGTGATTTTACGAATCTTAATCAATCTATCGGTGTACAAGTATAGGACAAAACTCCTTTTATTGCGTTATTAGTGTTTTTACATTTTTTATGAATATTGTCTTGAACGTGTTTTTTATTGAAACGGCCCCCACATTTCCAATAGCTTCCATCCCATGTGACTTATTGATTTAAATAGGTACTAAGTGTTGTTATTTGGTTCAGCATTTTGAACTTGATGATTGTCTTCATTCTCTAAAATAATGAAATTCCTGTGAACCCCAGTGTGTCAAGAGGATACCCTTTCCACAATTTCTACCTGTGTTAAACCTGTTCCACTCTGAGCCTGTTTTTCAGGTCTCAGGCTCGAAAATGACATTCCCAGAACAAATGACCATATCTTCCCTTCTAAAAGGGTTAAATTAATAATCTTTGTTCTCAAAGTAATGATAAACCTGTGAGTTGGATGTAGAAGTGTCAGAATCAATATAAATGTTTTTTATTTTAAAGAAAATTCAGATTTTACATAGTAAAAAACTGTAAATTATAGTGTCCGTCCAAAAATTATTTTTTACAGATAGTGAAAACTACCCTTGGATGATGGGTTAGTAGACTAAAAGCTTTAGGAATCCAAAGTACAACATATAATAAGTACCCTGTATCAAGATTGATGCAAAACAAGTGAAATTTGACCTTTTTAGAGAGATTTAGCCAAAAACCCCCACTTTTGGGGTCATTTGGGTGGATTTGACCTATCTCTGGCTTCCCTTGGTCGATTTGGTTGGTTGACATACCCTTGTGACCGTTAGAGCCAATAGAATCGAAGGGGGAGGCCCACTCACACACGTTGTAAAGAAAAAATGTGGGCGCTTCGCGTGTGGAAAACGAAACCAAAGTGGAGGAATGTCTCCTTCTGGAGTTTGGAAACTAAAACGCAGTTGTATTGCTTATGGATTATCAGAAATAATTTCAAAGAAGGCACAGACACATAGGATGAACCTATGGATTAACTGCAGCATCGTTTTTTTATCGTTTTAATGCCATTGAAGACCACTTTTGACCAAGGTAAGCCATATTTACGTTTGTTAGCTACTTAGCTCCACATGTGATGATGTACACTTTCGTTTATAGCGTCGCGAATGTTTATCACTGAGTGTTGAGGTTTTTTACACAGATTCAGTGTCTCCAGGACACCAAAAACGAGTGGTTGGCTGTGCATCTAGGATAAGTAATAAGGGAGTTATGAGTGAGTTTAAGTGCCTTTGTAGGTTCCGTTTTTTCGATCGAGGCTAATTCAGAGGCTGAGTGCTAGCATTGTGGGTTTTTTTTGAAAAAAAAAATTAAAAAGATCAGTTAGCTGAGTTTCTTCCCGTTACATGGATATAACACATTCATAGTTTTATTCAATATTAAGATTCCTTAGACGTTGTTTCCTGCAAATGACGCGTTTATCCGCCCGGTACCGGGGGGATGATGTGAAACAGGTTAATAATAATACTAAAGCTTTCACTCACTCTCATTTCTAGACATTTAGACTTAGTTTATCCAAGAGTAACAGCACCCTCTTCCTGTTTTCTACTTCATTGCATCCGTCCCTCTTTCTGCTTCCTGCTGATTTCCTGATGCCACATCACAGAGGCCGCTGGAGGCTGTCATTCGTCTCATTTTGTTTTCAGTAAATAAGGATTTATTTCACAGAGCACATGTGTAGTTTTCTCTTCTCCTACATGACAACCTGTGATTATTCCTGTCAGAATAAAACGCCCGCAAACGACAATCCTGTTCAACTACTGCATGTCAAGCTATGACAACAATGCCATTTAACAATATTCATTTCTAGCATGGAGGAAACATAGACCTTCTGTGAAAGGCCTCAGTTATACTAAGATATTAATATTAACTCATGTGATCAACAAATTACATATTACAACAAATTACCATTAGTTAGTTACATATTTAAATTAAGATAAACTTAATGATTCAGAAAATAGACTTTAATGTTGAGGTAATGTCTTGTTACCTGTTCCTATAATTCTCTTCCTCTCTCTATATATACATTATAAACAGTAGGAACAACAATAAGAAATATACATCAACAACAATTCTCCCTTTCTTTTCTTTTTCTAAAAGCGGCCCTTATATGCTTTTCTGCACCTCGATTGCAATCCTTTGTTAACTTCTACAACGTAGTGACATCACTCTGTAACATCCGGCTTATATTTGCACTCAAACACATTGTACGTGATAGGCTAAGGGGCGGGATATCTCTAAACCAGGGATGGGCAACTTGGATGGTGGTGGGGGCCACATCATTTATGTACTGGGCACCAGGGGGCCTCAGATTCACACACACACACACACACACACACACACACACACACACACACATGTACACACACACACACACACACACACACACACACACACACACACACACACACACACACACACACTCTTAATTTTTACAAGTGGCATGTTTGTATTGAACAGGTTATTTAACAGTGGAATAAAACTATTGGAAAGCACGGAAAATGTGTTTGCATTTAAGATTAACCATTAAGATGACATAAACATGAAGTCATGAACACTAACCCAGACATTAGTTGTCTAACTTGAACCTAAGACACTTGCAGCCTGTCTCTGCTGACGCACAGTAAGGGGAATGTCCACACAGACACCTGTCAACCCGCACTCTGCTGTTCCTCAGCGCCGCTCCCTCCCTCCCGCTGACATTTTGAATGTAAAGCGTATAGTAATCATAGATAACACGGCAGGGTCCGTGACAGTTTGTTTTCATCTGATTTCAAATAAACAAAGTCTTGGTTTTTAGAATATTAAACTTGTTTCACCAAATTCAGATGATAAATGCAACTTTTAAGCTTGTAAAGGCATAATTACAAGCGGCAACTTAACGTCACAGCAGGCATAACAACAGCCGGTGTTTCTTGTGAGTGTTTCCCCGGGAAACAAACACAATAAACACAAACGCGTCACACATTATTTTGCGGTATTTGGCTGCCGAACGAAATCATGTACGCAGCTCGCGACGTAACTAGGAGTCTAGTGGACGGTATCAGTACTACAAGTAAAAGCGGTTGACCAATAACAACAGAGCCGGCCAGCTAACCAATCAGAGTAGACTGGGCTCTGGTTTCAGACTGAGGGTGAAAAGAGGTGCTGCAGCACAGGCAGTATGAGAAGAATAAAGAGCTTTCTGAACATTAAAGCATGGAGACACGTCACAGTAGAGACACAAAATAAATATAATAATTCATAATTAAATATGAACCTAAAAATGAGCAGAAAAGGGCTCCTTTAACCGCCAGCCCTGCCTCAATCTCAGTGAACAAAACCAACACAAAATAGAGTACAAATGTAAGGAAATCTAAATTTAAACATGGTATAAAATGTTTCTAAAGATAAAAACAGAATGAAAACAGTTTTAAAAGAAGCAAAAACAAAGATTCAAAAGGATGCATTCAGCTGACTTTCAGGCACAATACTTAGAGTGTGTATGAGAGATAAACAGTGTGTGTGTTCCTGCTCTGTGTGTCAGGCAGGTGCGCAGCGCGGCCTCTCTCTCCCGGGGGGCCGCGGGCCGCCTGCTGATGGAGGCGCTCCCCGGGGAGGAGGCGCTGGCGCTGCAGGAGGCCGACAGCGGGGTGCTGCGTCTCAGGGCCGGAGACCCCTTCCCCGAGGAGATGAGCGCTCTGTGGCTGGGGTCCAGAGCCTGGGCTTCACGATGGTCTGCGAGCCCCACGAGAACCTCCTGCTGGCCGAGGGGACGCTGCGGACCCTGACCCGACACTGCCTGGAGCACCTGCACCTGCTGGGGCCCGGCAGCGAGGTGAGACAGGCCCTCATGTCCAACCAGAGCTTCAGGAGACACTGCACCAAACTGATAAAGAGCATTATGTCATCGTAAAGGAAACAGCAGCTCCAATTTGCATGAAGGTTAAATATCTGCAGAGTTTTTAATGACCAAAAATCATGTTTTGAAGCGGAGTTCGATCTATGCTCAGACCACATCAACCCAGATTAGATTTGATCAAGACTTGATATTATCTGGATGGAGACAAATTATTTAAATTGTCCTTTTTCTGTCTATATGTAAAAAAGTGCACTGGTTTTTGATGTAGAATTGCCCGATTGCTCTTAATGAAGTAAAAGCTGTGAAATTGCTTTTTTCCTGTTATCACAAATGGAACAGAGGTTCCTTAACTTTGACTGTGTTTCCACGAAGGATTGGTTGTACATTATCAAACAGGCAAGAGTAATGACGCAAAAACGCTTAGAGCAGCAAAATGCACTTATCAATATAATAGAAGGTTTTATGCATTAAACCATGTATATTGATTTACATTGCATCATATTTACTGTCAATCTTCTCCATCATCCATATTGCTGATGTCTTTATTTAATATTCTATATCATCATCATCATACATTTTTCCTATCTTTTAATAATACCACCATCATTATGTTTATTATAATATTATGTTTTATATCAATTGATTCTCTTTAGAATGTTAATACAAAAAAAGTTATGCATTAAACACAGACCATTTTCTTTTAGGTAGAGGTAGACAGAGGATGGCAAAGACTTCATGTAATTAATGTTTAAGACCTTCCCTCTCTTCTACTTATTTTTCTTTGATGGAACTACTGCACTCTTTGTTTAGAAAAAGGTAAATGGAAGGGGGAATATTGACTCATTCCCCATTGTATGATTCCTTCAATCTAATATGAATAAAGAAGGAAGAAAAGGTGGCGGTCGTGCAGGTTTTATTTGCTTCTACAACTACCTGCCATCTTTAAAAACTCCTCCTGTCCCCTGCAGATCCTTCTGAGGAGCGACCGCATCGACGCTCTGCTCAGCCGCCTGCTTCCTCATGGCCAGCTCCTCTTCCTCAACCACCGCTTCGCCCACAGCCTGGAGAAGGAAGTGGCAGCTTACATGACAAAGTGACCCAAAAATACCCGCTGTACGACTTCCTGTTTGAGCTCATTACTGCCAGTTGTTCTCCACTGGAGACATCTCTGCGGCAGTAGAAGAAGAGCGGACTGCTGGCAGCTGATTGGTGGTGAACACACAGCGAGGTAAATATCTGCCTCAGCCACTTGCAGCTCAGTGTTGACTGTTTACTGTGTGGGACGCTTCAGTTCAAATCCTGTTTGTCAAATTGAAGAGTGGAGAGGAAAATGTGGCAGATTAAAGAGTGCAGCTGAAGAGGCCGGTTAAAACGTCCTCGTCAACATCACAGCAGCTGTTATCTGATTCTCCGTGCTCCGAGCGACTCTGTGTGACCTTCAGGAGCTGACTGAAGGATCCTGGGAGTTTAAATGATTCTCTAAGTGCTTTATTTCATCACTGTGGTTTCTATTGCACCTTTTCAAAAAGTAGGATCAAACATTCAACCTGCTTGAATGCACTGCATAGTGTGATTCATTTCATAGCAACAAACAGCAGGAATGTTGTTTTTCTAAATGGTTGTATGCCGTACATAATGTGATGAATCTCATATAGTAACACACAGCAGAAATGGAGCAAATAAATATAATTTAGAACTTAAAACGTCCTTATTATTGAGACATCGACACAGCTTTTGTTCCTGGAAAGTGGGAGGGTTAGGGTTTGAAGTATTTATGCATTACAAATAATGATTCATTGCATAGCAACAAACAGCAGAAATGGAGAAAGTAAAACACGTTTGACCCAAAAATAGACAATATCTTTTAGACATAAGCACCTATTGTTCTTGAAAAATAGTAGGAAACTAGGTATTTGGTGACTTTCATAGTGTTATTCATCTCATAGTAACATACGGCAGGAATGGAGCAAAAGATGACAACATTTTGAACCAAAAAAAAGTCATTATTATTGACATTTTAAGGACAATATGAAGGCAGGAAGTAACATCAAATGTTTAAAAAAAACTAAATTAAATATATGCAGAGATGCCAGCGTGCAGAATAGGACAAAAACAAAACGGGAATAAAAAACAAAATGGAAACTTCCAGAAACAACAATTACAAATAAATTCCTGTACCTGAACATCTGTTGTACCTCCGACTACCCCCCCCCCCCCCCCCCCATGAAGCCAGACTCCCCCTCCTCCTCCTCCTCCTCCTCCTCCCCCCCTCCCCCTGACTCTGTCTGGGTGCCAGCATCAATTGCTTTGATCTTCTCATTTTTTTTCCCAAATTAAAAAATAAAACTAATTTTAAGCATTACCCAAGGCGCATTCTTTGATAGTTGTGTACTCGGCAATCAAGGACACACGGTGAGTTTCCCAAAAAAACGAGGCACCGGGGAACGCACATTAAAGATGATGGCACACACAAGAGGAGGATTTAGAGGTTGTGTGCGTCTCATGGGGAATATAAATAAACACACTCAACGTCAGCTGATTAAAAACACCTGCAGACTGAATAAACACGATGTTTCACTGAACGACCAGCAGAGGGCGCTGTTGTTCCTGTGAGTTTTAATCTGCAGTGAAGGACATTTGTAGGAAACTAACTATTATTTTAAGTAAAAACACATATAAAAGGGCCTTTCAATGCAACATTCTAATCTAATAACAACAAATAAAATCATAATTATTTGTATTATGTATTTTAATCTTTGTAAAGCAAAAAGTGTCTTTGAGCACCTGTAGAAGCGCTTGATAAATAAAAGATATTATTAATATAATTATTTTTAATAATAGTCTAAAACCTGGCATTATTATTCACCCTGCTGCAAAAATAAAATGTCTTACATTTTTGTTTATATTGGCTTTTGGGGCTTTTATTTGTATTACATTTTTATTCTGGGGCGTTATGTTTTTCCTTTTTTTCTCTGGTATATCCTGTTTGTGGTTCAAGAGCATTAGAGTATTATTTTGTCCCATTTATTAACAACTTAGGAACTACTTACTTATTTTGCTATTTTTAATGCACTTAAAGGTCCCATGTCATGGCCATTTCTACTGATCATAATTCCATTGTGGAGGTCTACTAGAATAGATTTACATTGTGCAATTTTCCAAACTCACATTGGTTTCTCATACAGCATCTCTGTATAGTATGTGTATTCACTCTGTCCTAAACGGCTTGTTGGAGCTCCTGCCCCCCCCCCCCCCTCTCTGTGAGCCCACTGTGCTCTGATTGGTCAGCTCGCCCACTCTGTTCTGATGAGTCTACCACCGTTACAGCGGAACATCAGTGATTATGTGTTACAATGGCGTTAGCAACCAGAAAATGACACCAGTAAGTACAAACAGATGAGAATGCTGCGTGGGGTCTGGGTGCCGTGTTGACGGGACGTTGCGTGGCTCGCTGCTGCGAGGAGCGGACAGTGTGAGCTGGGTTCATTTCCTGCTTGCTGCGTGGGCTCTGCAAGACAGCGAGACACTACGAATGGACGCGGGAAGGGGGGGGCAACACCCCCATCTGCGAGGCTCCACTAGCACCCGCAACCCCCCCCCCCAGCGCGTCACAGTTTCGCCGCTGAGAGAGTGGGATTGGTCCATTTGGACCAGGGCTCTCCAACACGTCGATCGCGAGCTACCGGTAGCTCGCGGGCAGCTTTTCAGTAGCTCGCCGCTCGATTATCGATTATAGCGTAGTAAGGTTGCTTATTGATTTTTCGGCCGCGGCTGGACAATAACGTTTTTTTATTTTAGAATGTTTTCTGTCACACGAATATCAAATGGTCGGTGACGCAGAGATCTAGGAACAGACGTGACAGCAGCACAGCGACAACACACACGGAGCAGTCTGCTTTCTCCACCAGCACCAGTCCAGAACTAACAGCAGAATGACCCGCTCTGAATCAGGCCCTGTCGCTGCGGCTCAGAGACACACAGGGAGGGATTTGTGTTTTTTGAAAAACACTCGTTATCGTCATGTCAGGTTTTTGGTGGATTTAATCAAGTCTTGGATTGCAGAGTATGAATGTCCTCTTGCTATTTTCAGTTGATATATACTTGTGTAAAGTTTGTGAAGGCAGGAGGAAAGCTTCCGCGATCACCGTCTCCTCTCCGTTCCTCCAAACCCCGCCCCCTCCCTGAAAATAATGAGTGACAGGCTGATAGTGACCCGAGAGAAACTTTATTATTCACTTAATCACTGATTGAGATATGATGAAGCTAACTTAATCTCATACATTCATGGGATTTATGTAACAGTAAGACAGAGAATGCAAGTGTGCACCCACATGCACTATTTTTGTTTTTATAATGCTGTTGTAAATACTCCTGTTGTCTGCTGTGTTCAGACTCAAGTCATGTGTGTGATGCCACATTCAGGACATTCAGTGTCTTTTTTTTAACAGAAGACCGTAGCTAGAAGCTGCAGTTAGACTGCAGAAGTTTTAGTTTTTGAGGATGGAACCATTTTCACACACAGATATAGGGAGGCTAGACCTATACAATTGATTTATTATGGTTTATAATTTAATGTCAAGACGAAGAAGAAGAAGAAAAAGATGGCTGAACAACTGTTCAGTGTCAATCCTGTGGAGATCTCCAAAATCATGTTCAGCTTAAGTCTCAGCAAAACTCACAACATTTCTGGAGCCTTGTAGACCCAGAAAACTATAGAACATTCACCAAGCAGCACTGAAAATGTCTGCTTTATTTGGTTCTGTTCTACATACCTTTGTGAAGCAGCTTTTTCTGAATGAAATCTAAATACAGAACAATACTGACTGAAGAACATTTAAATTACTCTATTAGAGTGAACCTAAGTGGGTACACTCCAGCAGACTCCTGTATGGTGGACTGCCAGTGCCATTCATCTCACTAACAAAAGAGTGAAATGCTTGTAAGGTGGTGATTAAGGACACTTATGTGAATGTTAAGTGATGTACTTATTATGTGGGCCATAATAATATGTGAGAAATCTTCGTTTTCTTGGACCTTGATGTGAAGTTAAGATTTTTTATAAGCTTTAGGTATTGCAATTTCACACGTGTACAAAAGTAGCTTAATTCAACTGATGAGGGCTATGTGAATAAATGTAAGCGATGTGATGCAAGTAGCTCTTGGCCACTTTCATTTTTTCAAAGTAGCTCTCAGATGAAGAAAGGTTGGAGACCCCTGATTTGGACCAATGGGTCCATTTGGGTATGGGCACGTCACCACCATTGTGAAGAACACAATGGAAAATGAGAAATCTCCAACGAGGCGTTCTGGGGCAGCATAGACAGGTCTTTTCTGTGTTAGTTTTACTCCCTACAGGGTGTACTTTAAGGGTTTGGGACTCTGCAGACCGTTTACATGCAGAAAAACCTTCATAACACACAAGGGGACGGGTAATAACCGGAAAAGCACGACATGGGACCTTTAATGTATATTATATTTGACTTGTCCTTCTCCACTAGGGGGCAGTGTTCAGCTGCAGGGAGATAATAGAAGACAAATAGTGACACCAACAAATCCACAAGGCAACAACACCCTGAATTCTGCTGCTTCTTTGGGCCAGACATCAAACGACGGCGCTGAGATTGTTTCCATGTGTCTTCATAATTACAATGATTAGCAATGCACAGGAAGTTGATCTTTGCCTTCCAACAGCTGTTTGATCAAATGCACGAGTTAATGTTAAGTGGAGTTTATCTGCTGTAGATGTGAGTGAGTACGTTTTGCTTTCATCCCCTTTGGTTGTGAGGTCGATCCATAATCAAGCATGGTTTGTGGGCAGGATTATCAATAAGGATAAATGAAATATGTAATAAATATCAGTTTAATCTTTCAAAGAACTCAATGGAAAATGCAAGGATGCTTCAAAAAGAGCATATTTAGCACTGAGGTTAAATTCAAAACATCACATTTATTAATCAAACATATTTCATTTATCCTGGGAAAGAATTGGATTTCTTAAAAGTTGCAACATTTTTAGAAAAAAAGGAATAATATAGAATAGATTTTGAAGATAATAATATAATGAAATAAACAATAAAATAAAACGAAAGAAAAATAATACAAATATTAAAAGTAAATAACAGCAATAAATATGCAAATATGTGTTTTAAAAAAATATATACAGTAACACATTCATAATATAATGATATTTTATTTATTAGGAGCAAAAAAAAAGCATTTGTTTTAAATGGAATAAATAATACAACTTAAGAAAAAAAGAAATAAAACATAATATAAATATTCAAGTAAATAACAATAAATATGTAAAAATGTGTCTTTTAAAATATATACAATAACACAATAATAATATAATAATATTAAAGGGTGAAAACTAGATTGTTGCTTGAAATGCACAATGCAGTAATTATGCTAAGTGGTATGAGTATTGCACCGTTTAATAATTATTTAGAGTGAGTGCTAATAAAGTTAAAGAAACTTGTATTATTTATTTCCTGTCCAACACGGCAGGAGACGGCTGTCTGATCAGCACGATCAGCTCATCAGCTG